GAGGATCAATTGAATGCTCTTCACAAATGACAAATTGGAGTCATCAAGGTATGCAGGGGACAGAGCGAGGAGAGACTTAAGATGGAAGTGCCCTCTGAATTTGTTTCCAAATTATGGAAACAGAAGGAGGCAACAGCTGTAATGTCATCACCATGGTCATTGCAGTACAGTGTCTGTGATTCTTGGTTTATAAAGCTGATGCTTCTCCTGCATCTGCCAGCAGGAGTCCTCTTCACTTCACAAGCTTGATTTTAACCACTTGAAAGGGGGTCTTGACTGCCAATCAGCATGAGAGAGCAAAAGGCAGCAGTAGACAGTCAATAAAGGTAATTAATAATACCTACCCCGCTTTGAGTGTAGGTAGCCATTCAGCCCTCGATCCAGCCACTTTTAAAATGGCTTGGGGCAGAACCTTACTGGTGCATCAGCTGTGGTAGAAAATTCTAGGTTTGCCAATCTTTTTCCCCCCTTTTAAGCTTCTGAAATTTTGGTCCCATAACTCTTATCTTCAGTTTTGTGAAAGTTTGCTTCAGATTCCTTTTTCATCAGTACACTACTTTCTCTAAAATACCAGAGAAAAATGACAGAATAATCTCCAAAGTCCCATTTCCAGCCATGCCTCAAAATCTCAACCCTTGGTGTTCCTTAGGTCTCTGTATTATTGACCACACCATTTCAAATCAACCCATCTACCATTTATATCCTCCTCCATGTATTGCCAGATACAATATTCCAATATTTTCTGGCTAAACCTCAACTTATCTAAAGCTCTGCTACCTATATTCCATCTCAAATTCGGTCCTACTTATTCATTAACACTTTTTGTTGCTAGCCTATATTAGCTCCTAATCCCACAAGGTTCCAAACTTAAAATTCTCATCTTTGCATTTAAATCTCTTAATGCTTTTACAGTAATGAACCTCCAACAGTCTGATAAATATCCCTCCTGGAATTTTTCTCCATTTTTTTTTTGGATTCTAACTTCTTGTGCATCTGTTCTGTTCTTAACAGAAGTCACTATACCTTCAAGCTCTTGATTATTCCTAATCTGTCCTTCTTTGGTTTGGTGTTTCTTTCACACTTCCAGTAAGTACCTTGGGGTGCTTCTCTGCATTAATTGAGCAATATAAAGGCAAGTTGGTAATAACTAGTGTCTTTTGTCATATGTTAATGCATTCTGTTTTAGACCAGGCCGAACCCCCTGAAGATATATTAAGAAGATAAGCCTGGACCCTAACTTTTTCTTATTTTAAATGCAAGTGCCATGCTTTGCATTCCAGATGCAAATTATTTACTCAAACTACCAGTCTTGAAGCAAAACACACTTTATTCATACACTATAGTTATAATACAACAAAAGAAATAACTTGGAATAGCAATCCTACTGGAAAACTTTCAGAATAATAAATTATTTTTAACTACTAAACAGTAACTATTCCAATATAGTAAACCCCATAAACTCAAAATTGGCAAAGGCAAATTCAGTAAAATAGATTGTCTCATGTGTATTTCTAGCAGCAGGAAGAAAACCCCCAGCTTTTAGCTGTAACAGAGAGAGAGGTAAAACAGCCTCCACATCCAGCTTCAAGACCCTAGCAGCTGCTACTGAAAAATTTAAATTAAAAATACTGGTTCTGTGGGAGCTTGACCCCATATATTCAGCCTGCTTCTATTGTTTCGACTTTACAAAACAAAACCCCAAGGCCTCACAAACTGTTTATTGGTTTTCAGTAGACTGCTCGTCACCTCTCTCTCAACATTTCTTCATTAAAAAAAAGGGACAAAATATACCCCTTAAAGCCATAGTATTGTCACAATTCAACATGCCACAGTTTTTATTGCTTTGATACTGTTCATATAATTTCTCTGAAATCCATTGTGTTTTTGATGCACTTACATTCTTCCCTGTACAGTCTTTCATAATACCCTTTCTGCACTCCAAATGCTTAATACTGCCCATGCTCACTTTTCTTTCTGGTGAGTCTCCCTCTCACAAATTAACCTTCTCTTCTTCTCTCGCATTGATATGAAGCAAGCTCTAGAATGCAGTACTGAACTAACATTGCATTCATTATTAGTCTTTCATCTGCTGCCTTGCAAAGTATGATACTATTTTTGTATTCATTCGTTCATGGGATGTGGACATCACTAGCCAGGGCCAGCGTTTATCACTGATTCATAGTCATCCACATTGGCCTACATATGACTTCAGATCCAGACAGGGAAGATTTCCTTCCCTAAGGGTAATTAGTGAACCAGATGGGCTTTTACAAATATCAACAGTAGTTACATGGTCACCATTAGACTAGCTTTTCCAGATTTTAAAAAAAAAAAATTATATTTAGCTTCACTTTCCATGGTGGGATTTGAACCCATGTCCTGATTCTGGATCACCCGTTCTGTGAAAATATTACAACACCACTACCTTCCCTGAATGATGATCCTAATATATTAGAAGCCCCCAATTTAGATGCAGCACAAAAATCACATCTATCCTACAATCACCAACCAATGCTCTACTTTTGACTCAGAGACTTGAGCAAGCAGAATTAGGAGGTGAGAATGAAGCCCAGAAATACTGGCTTTTCCTGGCGCAGAATTCTGGTTTAACTCAGGTGGAGAAACTCCGACCATACAGGTTTCCCATCCTTACTCAGCACCAACAGAAATCTTTAATGGGCGTGGAGACGAGCATTCATTCAGCCTGCACTCTACATTTCACAGTGTGCTTAGGGACATTGCTGTGAATCTGCCAATTATTCTTCTGCAAATCTTGGCAATTTTGTTTTTGCAGAAGGTAGCAAATCTGCTCGATAATGGAATTCCTAAGGATATTATCTATATGGACTTCCACAAGCCTATCAGCAAAATTGACAAGAGTAGGGGATTAGTTTGGAGGTTGAAAACACACTGTACGTATAATGGGTGTGTACTACAAGCGGCAGAATGTGAATATTGGCGGCTCCAAGTATTTTTATACGGGTCTCAGTTTCTCAGTCTTTTATAAATACGTCTCAGACAATGAAAAAAAGAATTAACCAAATTGACTGATGATACAATGTTAGGAGTACAAGATGGAAATGCACCCAATTCCTTGGCATTGGCATCTCACACTTTGATCAAGTTAAAGCAGAAATATTTTAAATACAAGTGGCAAATATTAACATTCAGGAAGCAGCATTGCTAAATCAGAAACTATCTAGGGCATTACAATCTATAGACAAAGTCATAATTATTGCAATAAAACCTAATGCCTTATAATATGCTTGAGAGTATTAAGCATCATGGGAAGAAGAGCTGTTGTATTGTTCAGACTCTTATCTCAGGAGCCTACACAGAAGATTTGTAATTAATCCGACACTTCCATTGTAAAGTTACACCTTTGATTTCATTTTATGCATTGAAATTTCATGATGGCCAGTTTGCAAAATGACAGGCACTGAAAGCCTGACAGAAATTCATGGCTCCCTTTTATCCCGTCATATTTGAGCAAGGAAGAAGTCCAAGACAGCCAGAATGCAGTTAATTGCACAGCCTCAAATATTTGTCCTCGGCAGAAATAACTGTTCTGTTGAAGTGAATAACATTGTGGTGATAAAGATTTCCTACTGAAGCATGACAGCTGTCACTGTGAAAGACAATCATCTTCTGTCTCCTCAACTGCATTTGAACCTGTATTTCACAGTAAAGGTTTGTCACAGGAATGCCATACTTAAAAAATCTTTGCTTTTCAGTTTTCGAACAGGAGTTTGGAGAAGTAACCTTTTGAAAATATTGAGAGAGATGCTCCTGGATTTACATTTTCCCCTATAATAGATAGTGAAGAATTCAACCCACTCACTATTAAAAAGCCTGTGATATGATTGAAATCAAATCTGCTTTCAATTTCTAAAAATGATGGAGATTGTTATAATTATAATGTTTACACTAGACTTATAAATAAATAAAGGTTAGAATTAAGACATTAATTAATTATGCTTTGCACAAAGGAAATTGGTCATAGTTATTGCAGGTTAAATCATCTGTTCCAGGACATCACATCAAGAATTCGTCAGGATACAGCCCTTGGCCCAATCATCTTCAGCTGCTCTGATCACCTTCTCCTCATATAAGATCAGAAGTGGGGATGTTCACTGATGATTGCACAATGTTCAGCACCATGCATGACTCCAAGATACTGAAGCAGTCTCTGTCCATATTTAGCATGATCTGAATATCCTCCATAAATACCAAATAACATTTGTGCTACAAAATTACTTGGAGATGATCACCTTCAACAAAAGAGAATCTAAGCATTTTCCCCTGACATTCAATGGCATCACCAACACTGAATCTCCCATTATCAAAAATCCTTGATGTTAACATTTAACTAGAATGTGACCAGACTAGACAGATATAAATACATGGATTACAAGAGCAGGCTGGAGGCTAGGAATTCTGCAGTAAGTAACTCATCTCGAGTCCCCATAGCCAATTCATAAAGGTACAAGTCTGGAGTATGAGCGTCTCCACTTGCCTAGATAAGTGAAGCTGCAACAACACTCAAGGTGCTCAACAAGACAGGACAAAGCAACCAAATTGATTGCCATCCCATCCATCACCTTAAACATTTACTCCCTCAATCTACAAGATCCACTGCAACAACTCATTGAGGCTCTTTCGACGGCATTTTCCAAACCTGTAATTTCTACCACTTAGAAGAATAAGGGCTGCAGCAGATGGATGGAAGCAGCACCATATGCAAGTTCCCCTTCAATTTTACCACCACTCCTTCACTATCACAGGATCAAAGCCTGGGAACTCCTGTCCTAATACCACTGAGGTGTATCTACATCACATTGACGGTAGTTTTTCAAGAGGCTATCTTGCCGCCACCTCTCATGGATAATAAAGAAAGGACCGAAAAAAAAAACTGGCTGAATGAGAATAGATTCTTTTTCAGAGAACACTAGATCTATATCTTAATTTCTATATCGCAGCCTCAAATAAAATATGCTTACCAGAAGTTTTTTGATAACCTGGTCACGTTCAGATAACTTATCTTGAAGTTTGCTAATATGATGCAAATCTTCTGGTTTGGATTCATGCTTCTTTGATTTTTCTTCCATCTCTTTCACTCTGCAAATGATTGCAGGTTTGCAAGAGTCTGTTATGAATTGAGTCACTTATCAACAAATTGTAATAACACATTATACTGCAGCTTGACAATATAATAATCCTCAAAGAGAGTTAAGACGGTGGCTGGAAACAAAAGCGTGCAGCTTATTCTACCCCATGGTGAGCGAAAATGTCTGCAATTGTATCTCTTGTACACAAGAAAGAAAAGGATGCCAAATCTCAAACCAATGCAATATTATTAAGTGAAAGAAATATAATATTAAGCCGTAAACTGAGAAAAGACAAAGTTGATTCCGATTGTGGTTTTATTCTGTTCATTAGATCTTGGCAAATTTAATCTGTTTTGCATGATTTTATCTATATGAAGGAGACACTGAACTACTGGAGGAGCTGACCCATAAATTGGCGAGAAATCCTGGACACCAGTATTTGGACTGGTTTTCACTCCAAATTTTGGTACATGATACATCTGTGCTATGGCCTTAGGACCCTAGCCATGGATCTTTTCAAGACATCAGTTATCAGATGATTATCTTTATGTAGACCAATCAATATTAACATTTAAACCAAATGTTAATTATTTTCATTCCATGTAGATGTGCATTTAAACAATAATGTAGCACTTACTCTGTTTCCAAGGAAACTATCTTTGCTTGGAGACGGGTTTGGGAGCTGCTGAAATCAGACACAATGCCTTGAATTTCTTTCAGGTGGTTTTGCTTGAGAAAGTTGATTTCTTTTTCATGCTGAGCCTTAAACTCTTCTTGCAGAGACCTTGGACATTGAGCAAAAAGTAGTAAGACAATGTAGTGACAATATTAAGCAACAAAATCATAATGGTAATAATCTGCCAGTCACACAATAATATTAGTGGGAAAGGTTAGGGCTCATACATTTCAGAGTAAATGTGTTTTCACTGGTGCAAAGAGTGCAATTTTCTGATGAACAACCTCCCTCACCAAGAAAATTTAATTTTATAAGTGAGTAATCTTAGAATAAATTGAAATGTTGTATTTTTTTTAAAATCTATTTTCTTCTTTTAACTCTATATTTTATTACTACTTGAGTATTCCAACCTTTATTTCACTTTCTGCTCAAATGATTTAAATATAATCTACATTCAGCATTTTTTACTTGCTGCTTTGCAGTTGATAATAAAGATTCTTAAAACTGTTTGGCTGAAGAGCTTGTTTGCTGCTTGTCCTGCTCGCAGTTGTCACAGGTCCTTTGTCTAGCGAACTACACTGGATTAAATCTAGGATTAATAGAAATTGCTACTGACAGGCATACATTAACCTTGAGGCAACCGTGCATGAGATGAACAGTAAAAGCTGTTCCTTTGTGGCTAGGAGGGAAATCTGGTCCATGGATCATTTCAAGAGAAGATTACTGGTCAGGTGATCATCTTTATACAGACCCAATAGTTAATATTATTGCACTTTCATTGAGGTGTTTTTACAATTCTCACAAAACAACAGTCAATAGGAATCAATATAAGATTAGCAGACCTCTTATCTCTAATGTAAAGCATTCCTCACTGCTGCCTTAGTTAAAATTGTGTGAATATAAAGGAAAGCCCATGTGATCCGTCAAATCTCAGGTGTATTATTGGGGCATTCATTCATCTTGGAAAATAGCACAAAATGGTGTGCTTTGGGATCTCTGTCCATTATAAACCTTGCCCAATATTCAGCAGAACAACAAACAGGTCTCTGATGCGCTACCACCCAAGACCAATTTCAAACTTTTTAGGTCTCCCATTTGATATCAATCCCACCTTGACTATCCTTAATGATTTTCCCATTAAACTCTATTCTTTACATTCTGGCAAAGGGGTTAAGGTGTGTGATATTAGAGAGATGAAGGAAGGGAATCTTTGTGATAGAATGATTACAGACGAGAATCAACTCAGACTAAAAGCAGAGGTTTCAGGCAGTGTGGTTTGAACCTCGCCAGTGATCAGGGAGGCTAATAGAAATTGCAGCCGGGGCCAAAGATGGCAGCTATTTTCCTTCAAATCTTAAGTTCTGATCATTCATATTGCAAATAAGAGTGGCTTGAGAAAAGACCCTGTGGAACAAATTGGAATGACATCCTTTAATCCATAACCTTTGCACAGTTGAATAAAACACATTTTTTTAGTCTATCAATTGAGGATACCATTTGGTGTAGCAGGACCACATCACACTAGACTGTACAACATTTGCTCCGATCTCCCCATCGGCAGAGTGGTACTGCTCAACCTGGTACAGGAACCACCAGAAAATGTGATAGACGGCCATCTTCAGAAAGTTAAGAATTATTTCTGGGAAAGTTGAGATAACACTAACAGTAACTTCACTTTGGGTCAAAATCCTGGAACTCCCTCCCCAACAGCACTGTGGGCACATCTACAGCACATGGATGCAGTGGGTCAAGAAGAAAGCTCAACCTAAGCTTCTCCGGGACAGTTAAGAAGTGGCAACAAATGTTGGCCTTACCAGTGATGCCCAGATCCATGAAAGAATTTTTAAAAAACACAGCCAGAGTATCTCCCTGTGCTAGCACCATTGAAACTCCTTTTGTCTGAGGGAAGGTATCCTCCTCATATTACACCACTGGCTGACAATGAAAACATTCTTATTGACATAGGAATTCAAACTACTCATCAAAAAACCTGGTCACTGACTCAAATGGTGAAGCCCCTGGTTTTAACCTCTCATGCAAAATGTGGGTAACCCTCAGCGACATTATGGATGTGCCAAAGGAGATATGGCTATTACTCCACAAATGAGGAACAACCCAAATTGGAACTGTGACCATCTGTGCCAGGTCTTCACCCACATAATAGACTGCCTCAAGAGATCCAATCCTGGTGACATCAGAATCATTCCCCTAGTACTAGTTAAAGCTCTTGGATCAACTGTTAAGCTCAACATCAAACTATACCCATAAAAACAGAAAGAACTGTGGATGCTGTAAATCAGGAACAAAAACAAAGTTGCTGGAAAAGCTCAGCAGGTCTGGCAGCATCTCTGAAG